AGAGACGGGGTTTCACCATGTTGACCAGGATGGTCTCGATCTCTTGACCTCGTGATCCACCCGCCTCGGCCTCCCAAAGTGCTGGGATTACAGGCTTCAGCCACTGTGCCCGGCCAGATTTAGCATAATTCTTAAGGGCCCTAGGATTTTTAGAACAGTGGTGCTACATTCAACTTAAAGTCACTAGCTCCATGAGCCTCTAAGAAAAGGGCCAGGCTGTCCTGTGAAGCTTTCAATCCAGGCGCTGACTTCTAACTATGAACGTCTTACTTGGCATCTTCTTCCAGCAGAAGGTTGTTTTGTCTACAAAGAAAATGTGTTGCGTGGTATATCTACCCTCATCAACTATTTTAGCCATATCTTCTAGGTAACTTGCTATAGCTCCTCCATCAGCACCTGCTGTTTCACCTGGCTCTTTTACGTTATGGAGATGGCTTCTTTCCTGAAATCTCATGAACCAACCTCTGCTAGTTGCAAGCTTTTCTTCTGTAGCCTCAACTCTCTCAGCCTTCCTAACATTGAAGAGAGTTAGGGCCTTACTGTGGATTAGGCTTCGGCTAAAGGGAATGTTGTGGCTGGTTTAATCTTCTCTACTCAAACTTTCTCCATATCAGTAATAAGGCTGTATTGCTTTCTTATTATTCATGTGTTCACTAGAGTAGCACTTTTAATTTCCTTCAGGAACTTGTCCCTTGTATTCACAACTTTGCTAAATGTTTGGAGCAAGAGGCCTAGTTTTAAGCATATCTTGGCTTTCAACGTGCCTTCCTCATCAAGCTTAATTCTTTCTAGCTTTTGAGTTAAAGTTGGAGATGTGAGACTCTTTCTTTCACTTGAACAGTTAGAGACCATCATCATTAGTTAGAGGCCTACTTGAATTAGGCCAATTAATGAAGTTATTAATTGGCCTAATTTCAATACTGTTGTGTCTCAAGGAATAGGGAAGCGCAAGTAGAGAGAAAGAGATAGGGAAGCAGCCAGTTGGTGGAGTAGTCAGAATACAACATGCATCAATTTAGTTTGCTATATTATATAAGCATGGTTCACAGTGTCTCAAAACAATTACAATAGCATCATTAAAAATCACTGATCACAGATTACCATAAGATATTAATAATAATAATGAAAATGTTTGAAATACTATGAGAATTACCAAAATGTGATAGAACAGGAATTGAGCACATGCTGTTGAAAAAAATGGTACCAACAGACTTCCTTGACACAGGGTTGCCACAAAGCTTCAATTTGTAATAAAATACATTATCTATAAAGTGCAATAAGATGAAAAGCAATAAAATGAGGTAGGTCTGTGTAGTACTTAGTAAATAATGAAAACAGATGCAGTAATTTTTAAAGAACTATTCATTTTTTTTCATGAATCTCAAAGAAACTGCAATTAGAGGAATAAGCCAACAGCCACATAGTTATTATTCATATGGTTACTGCAAGAAAAGATATTCTATGTAAACTACATATACGGATTGGCCAGATTCACCATAATTAAGTGAAATGAAGAGAAGGAGCCAAGAGGACTTTGAAGGATATTATAATTTTCCTAAAAATCTTAATTTAATCTAAGGATACTATTAAATAAAAGCAGAGTAACTACTTTTTTAATTCAACCTTAGAGGATTTCACACAGTGAAATTACTTAGGTTAACTCATACAAAATTGAAAAGCTGTATGTTAAAGAAAATAAGATTATTTTAAGTAATATTTTAAAAATTTTGAGTGAAAAAAGAACTGCATGTTCTCCCTTATACACGGAATCTAAAGGTGAACTCACAGAAGCAGAGAGTGGAATGATGGCTACCTGGGGCTGGGAGTAAGGGGGACTGTTGGGAAATATTGGTCAAGGACATAAAATTTCAGTGAGGCATAAGAAATAAGTTCAAGTTATCTACTGTGCATCACTGTGAGTATAATTAATAACAATATATTGTATACCTGAAAACTGCCAAGACAGATTTAAGTATTCTCACCACAAAAAATGACATATATGTGAGATATTACCTATGTTAATAGCTTGATTTAGTCAGTCTACAATGTATACAAATATCAAAACATCATTATGAGCACCATAACTATACATAATTTTTTGTCAATTTAAAAAACCAAATTTAAAAATTAGTAAAATAACACTAGCCTAACCAGTTTAGAGGTGGAATCCATATATTTTCTACTTTTAATTGTTCTCACAGATAAAATATACTAATACAGTAAAATAGTATTTTACATGTTACTGGTTATAAGTTTCAATTATAATTAATTGTATTGATTTTTATTATAAAATTAGAGAAGTTTTCCTATTAAAAAAATATTGGGTTCTGGGCACAGTGGCTCATGCCTATAATCCTAGCATTTTAAGAGGCTGAGGAGGGTGGATCACAGGGTCAGGAGATAGAGAACATCCTGGCTAACACGGTGAAACGTGTCTCTACTAAAAATACAAAAACTTAGGCAGGCATGGTGGCACACACCTGTAATCCCAGCTACTCAGGAGGCTGAAGCAGGAGAATCACTTGAACCCTGGAGGCAGAGGTTACAGTGAGCCGAGATCATGCCACTGCACTCCAGCCTGGACGACAAGGCGAGACTCCGTCTCAAAAAAAAAAAAAAATGGGGGTACTCATTTATTATAAAAATCTTGTTTCTTTAGCAGCATATACACAGTCTCAGGGTAGAAATAAGAAAAAAATGGTAGTTTGCCAGTGTGCTACAATTATCATTATTTAATTTTTTTTTTTTTTGAGATGAAGTCTCGCTCCGTTGCCCAGGCTGGAGTACAGTGGCGCGATCTCAGCTCACCGCAACCTCTGCCTCCAGAGTTCAAGTGATTCTCTTGCCTCAGCTTCCTGAGTAGCTGGGATTACAGGCGTGCGCCACCATGCCCAGCTAATTTTTTTGTTTTAGTGGAGACAGGGTTTTACCATGTTGCCAGGCTGTCTCAAATGTCTGACCTCATGATCCGCCTGCCTCAGCCTCCCAAAGTGCTACGATTACAGGTGTACGCCATCGCACCTGGCCTTTTTATAATTATTATTATTATTTTAGCTAAATGTGCCAGGCAAACCCTAAGAAACCCCCTTGTCCTGACTGATGAGGAAGAAGATTCAGAGAAGATTATGTATTTTCAATATGAGGGATCTGCCATTATGTGGTAGTTTTATCTGGTAGCAAAGAATGGGAACTTAGGAGACATGGAAGAACCAGAACAAGAATTTAATCTTTTCATTATCAAAAATAAGTAAAAGAAAATTCACATAGCTATTTAGGAAACATGTTAATCTGGAAGATTACATCTAAAGACTTTAGGCTCAATAAAGATTAAGATAAATAGTTAATGTGTTATCTGAACCATTTCCCTACCATTGCCTCACAGTCATGGTACCACTTAGTCTGAATCTAGATCTTTTCTCATTGTAAGTTTCTTGAAAGCCTCCTCTACATATTGCCTCTGTCCTACTTAATTAAGTACCAGAAATCAAAACCAGTTGTGAGTCATCCAGTTAGCTAATTATCATTCTTAATTAGCTATCTAATTACAAAGTAGGCAACTGATTCTAAAATAGTGGTGAGATAGCGAAGCTACAGTTTCCGTTCTGTACCATCAACTAAAATTTCAAACACAAGAGGAAAGATCCCCAAATATCTACAAACCCTTGTATGAAGAATTATCTTAGTCCCTGTATGAAGGAGAAATGGACACAGAAAAGTGTCCATTGTCTTTTATTCCCAGTTTCTGCTTCAATATTTTCATTCCTTTATTCTGAGACCTGAAGATTCATAGATTCTTCATTTACCACGTGTAAAACACGAGGCTGAGAAAAAAATAAAGTTCCTGAGTAGGCTCACCTGTATTAAAATATGCTTTTAAATTATGATGAAATGCTTCAGCAGGTACTTTCAGCAAGATTTACTGCAGCTCTGCTGATTACCACTGTTTTAAACAGCAACATGTTAGTTGCCAGAAATATTTACTCAAAACTTACCACAGGATGAGGGGATATACTAAAAAGTGTGTATGTGTGCATTTGCATGCGTGTGTCCATGGAACCCAGGAAAAGTGGCCAAGTATGAGAGAGCTCAGTAAATGAAGACTATTAGAGACCCTAGCTACTTGCTCAAGTCTATTGTTCTTTCTCCTCCCTATGTCTCTACCTTTGCATCTATTTTATTCATTCTATAGCATTCTGTGTCTTCCCATATCTTATATCTGTACTCTTCTACTTTATAACTTCAGTTTGCATCTGACCCTTCACCTTACCCACCCTTTTCTATATCACTATCTCTCAGTATCAGATCTTGCTGATGCTAACTTTGCCTCTGTTTCTTCAGAGTTAAATTTCTAAGGCAAAAAAATTAAAAATAGAACTACCTTGCGATCCAGAAATCCAACATCTGTATATGTACCCAAAATAGCTGAATGAAGGATCTTAAGATACATGTACACCCACTGTTCACGGTACTACTACTCATACTAGGCAAGAGGTGGAAACAACCCAAGTGACCGCTGAGAGAAAGAATAGATAAGCAAAATGAAGTACATACATTTTGTACCCGCTAAATATTTTTTGGTCTTTAAAAAAAAGGAGGCTGGGTGAGGTGGCTCATGCCTGTAATCCCAGCACTTTGGGAGGCCAAGGCGGGCAGATCACCTGAGGTCAGGAGTTCAAGACTAGCCTGCCCAAAATGGTGAAATCCTGTCTATACCAAAAATACAAAAGTTAGCTGGGCGTGGTGGTGTGTGCCTGTAGTCCCAGCTACTCAGGAGGCTGAGGCATGAGAATCACTTGAACCCAAAAAGCAGAGGTTGTAGTGAGCCGAAATTGCGCCACTGCACTCCAGTCTGGGTGACAGAGCAAGATTCTGTCTCAAAAAATATATTAAATTTTAAAAAAATTGAAAAAGGAAATCCTGTCACATGGTACAACATGAACCCTGAGTGCATTATGCTAAATGAAGTAAGACAGTCACAAAAGGACAAATATTATATGGTTCCACTTATATGAGGTATCTAAAGCAGTCAAATTCATAGAAACAGAAAGTAGAATAGTGCTCACCAAGGCCCAAAGAAGTGGAAAATTGGGAGTTGTTATTTAATGACTATAGATTTTCAGTTTTGCAAGACAAAAAAGTTCTGGAAATGTGTATTCACAACCCTATGAATACCATACATGTAACACTACTGAACTAACTGCACATCAAAAACTGGTTCAGTTGGTTAATTTTATGGTATATGTTTTTTGCAATTAAAAAAAAAGTTTTTAAAATGTCTAAGACAGAGAATCTGATTTGCCCAGATAATTTTTTTTGAAGCAAACTACACAAGCATGGGTCAATGCAAGCCTATGAAGTAACTGCTGGTATTGTCAAAGGTGTGTGAAACCAAAGCAACTCCATCTTGAATAGGAGCTGGGTGAAATGAGGGTGAGACTTACTGGGCTGCATTCCTAGACGGTTAAGGCATGCTAAGGTACCAGATGAGCTACAAGGTCAGCAAAAAATACAGGTCATAAAGACCTTGGTGATAAAACAGCTTGCACTAAAGAAGCTGGCCCAACCCCACCAAAACCAAGACGGCAACGAGACCTCTGGTCAAAGTGACCTCTGGTCATCCTTACTGCTACACTCCCACTAGTGCCATGACAGTTTACAAATGCCACGGCAACATCAGAAAGTTACCCTATATGGTCTAAAAAGTGGAGTCATGAATAACCCACCCCTGGCGTCATCAAAATAAAGATGGGCAACCAAGCAGCCCTCAGTGCTGCTCTGTCTAGGCAGTAGCCGTTCTTTCATTCCTCTACTTTCTTAATAAACTTGCTTTCACTTCACAGATTTCCCCTGAATTTCTTCTTGCGCAAGATTCAAGAACCATCTCTTGGGGTCCAGATTGGGACCCTTTTCCTTGTAACATCTTTCTGGTGCCCACTGAAGGGACTATACTGCAGTTAATCAAAAGCTAACAACTTTGGGTAAGTGGTGGGTCCTGTAATTGTATGCTTATTTACCAACTTTTTAATTAAATGCCTACTGTTTCAGACAATGTGCTAGGTACTCAGCCAGGGGCCCACCCTTGCTCTGAGCAGCAGGCTGTATCTGTCCAGTACGTTTTCCTTTATAAGAGGGATTGATAATTTGCATTTCTAAAACCATGTCATTTTCATTTTCATAAGTAAAGTGCATATTTCTACTGAATTGTATCCTGTCATACGGTTAAATAAAGGGTTTTTACGTTTCATGGGTATTTTTGTCTTCTTTGGCCTAGGCTCTTTCCTACCATTGCTACTCTGCTTAAAAGAAACAGGGCAGGTCTTCTGTAACTGCTGCAAAAGATCCCTTGAGAAAAAGTGAACTTACAGGCCAACCCTCCTGAAAGAAAACCCATCAACTTCTAAGTTTACTTTAAGTATGCATTAGCAGTATCAAACCTTCCACATCAACACATTATGAAACAAAACAAGAATCCTCAGAATCATCTTATTTGGCTCAAATATTATATGAAAAGATGGAATTCCTGCTATTAAATCATTTCATTAGTCCCCAATCTATAAATTTAGAAACAGTTACTCCAAAGAGTGCTTAAGTTTCAAGAACCTTAGTTCAGAATTGCATTAGGCAATGTAATTAACGTAATTTACTTATTAAAACATCAAAAACATGGAATATTTCAGTTCCTATCTGCCTAGATACTCCTGATTTCTTTCAGCTTCTGCGACAACATATTGCCTTAATTTTCTTCTCATCTTTCTGAGAGTTTCTCTCAGCTTTCTTCATTGAATAACCATTTTCCATCCAGTTCTTGAATACTGGCAGCTCCATGGTTCCAGCCCTAGCACTCTTCTTTTATATCTAAACTTCTATTTATACACCGATGATTCCAAAATCTATACCTCTAACCCAGACTTCTTTCCTCAGATTCAGATCCATATACCATACACTACACTATCCATGGACTACCTACTGAAAATCTCTCCATTTGAAGAGATATAGAAACCAGTGACCAAAATTATCTAAACCCCTTTCTCCCTGCTCCTCCCCCTCAGAATGTTTCTTCTCTATATTCCATTTATAGTAAATGGCAACTTTCAACCAGTTCCCTAAGCTGAGCATTCCAGATGCCCCTTTCTACTTACATAAATCCTATCCAATATTCTGAATATATCCCAGGTGCAATCAGTCACAAGTCTTTGATTTATTTCAAATATATCCCTTCCTCTGGAATCCAACTGCTGTAGCCTTAGTTAAATCCTCATAAGTTTTACCTGGCTAATATTATATCTACCTGGTTTTTAGGCGCTCCAGCTCCAGCATTCCCATGATTAAGCTTTGTCACTGTTTCCTCATTTAATGTCTGACATTATGTACAATCTGCCTATACATTTTCACTGAAACAATTATAAAGTATATTTATTTTGCTACAATTATAAAGTATATTTATTTTCCTGTACATAAGAATGCAAACTTATGTACAGGAACCATGTCACATCACAATAAATGTACTGAATAAATAAGTACTTCTCCAGTCTTTCTTACCACTCCTCAGACCTATCTAGCTTCCAGACAGACTAAATTACTTGCACTTCTGTCACTATGCCATGCTATTGTGCTTCTATACCTTTATGTACATCATGATCCTGCTAGAATGCTTCCACTTTATTTTGCACATGAATAGGCTTTGTATTTATCCTAAACAGTCAGTTGAACCATCAACCTCTTCAGCTTCTTAAACCACTGCTCCTAATATTCCACTGCGTTCCCATAGTCACCTCCATGTACTTACTACACTATATGGCAATTGTGAATTTTCTGCATATCTATTTTATGAGATTATGAAGTGCTCAAAAGCAGAAGCTGTGACTTCATTGTATTCCCAGTATCTAACATAGTACCTGGCACTTGGCAGGCCCTACAGCACTATTCACAGAATAAAGCATGAATTTATTTCATATGAAATGCCAGACTACATCTCTTAAATAATCTGTAGTATAAGTTTGCGGTCAAACAAAAACAAGATACAATAAAGTTTCTTAAAAATACAGATGATACTTTTCTGTATAACATCTTTTAGTTCCAAAAGGAAATATGCCCAAATGCATAGTTACCTCAGCTCCATTCTGGAAATAAGTGATATATACAATAATAAATAAAAGTTTTCAAGCATTCTATATATTGCTTTTAGAGAAGGTTAGAAGATAACATTTTTTGGCCTAAAAACTATGTGTATCATATCAAAACATTCTACAATGACTTCAAAGATGAACTAAAGTTAGTTATTAAAAGCTAATTTAAAAAAAACTATTTTAAACTAGCTAAATTCAACACAAACTATTTTTCCGAAGACTTGATAAATTATACTTTGTCTTATCAAACCAATTTATGTTTATAGATACTACCTAAGTCATTCCACTTTATTACAAATTGTTTAAAATAGGCCCCTCATAAAAAAGTAAATATAAGTAGATTTTGGGATCAATGAATAGAGCCAGAGCTTTTGTCTGCATTTCTTACTCTACTACACACATTAGAGGAACTCAAATTACAATAGGAAGCATTATTTCATCAGAAGAAATGACATATTAACCACTTCTGTCAAAGTACCATATATGGACTCACATAGCTGTGCTACTGAAATAAGACACAAGTAGAGAGCCAAAGGCTACATGGAACCATAGGAAAATATTACAGCTCTCTTTAACATTGAAGACTTATTTCAAGCCTCCTTAAAAAGAAAAAAAATCACTTGGTAACAGCTTTATTATCTGAAGACAAAAACAGGGCTTAAGATTCACTTATGCGCTCAATCTTGTGCTCTTGT